TTACAGAACGTATCCCCCGTCGATAAAGAGGGAGTACTGTACAATGATAAAAAGCAACAATGATTATAAGGGGATTTATTTTTTATTATTTATCTTTTCATTCTATCTTATTAATACAGTGGTCCTTCAGTTAGCGAGCACAATTCGTTCTAGAAGGTTGCTCGTTAACCGAAAAATTCGTCAACCGAATCCATTGTTTCAATGAGTTTTTGGGTAATTGGTTCCAGCTCACCTAAAATTGCCTAAGCCAATAAAAAAAGGTAATAAAGTACAGTGACCCCTCTGTTAACGAACTCAATCCGTTCCAGAAGGTCGTTCGTTAACCGAAAAGTTCGTTAACCGAAACCATTGTTTCAATGGGTTTTTGGGTAATTGGTTCCAGCTCACCGAAAATTTCCTAAATTCAAAAAAAATGGTAGAAAAGTTCACTTACTTTGAGGTGTGTATGTAGAAGGCTCCTGGATCATGATGATGATGATGGGGTTTAGAATGGGGGTGGAGGAGAAAGAAGAAGAGAAGGCATTGGGGTGGAAGAGAAGTCACCCCATGGCGCCATTTCACCCATAAAATTTTAGCTCTCTTGGTGTAATTCAAGATTATTTTCTTTAAATCAACACTGCACTGCATTATTTATTGTCAATATGTAAAATATATTTCAAAATGACCAATAATTTGCTTGGAAACACAGAAAAAAAGCGTTTAGTTGAAAAGAGTCTCAAGCAAGATGTTACCTCCAGTGAAAACAGAGAGAGACTAACTCCTGTTTGCTGTGTTAAGAGGCTGGATGCCGCGCCTTAAACTAGTCACTTTACCTTCAATTATGTTCAATAATTGTTAAAATGACTAAAAAATTGAATATTAAACTTTTAAAATTATTGAATAGTGTAAACTTCTTGATATTTACTAAAATAGTAAGGAATTTAAGCCCTAGAACCGATTAATGTATTGGCAGACTGATACTGGTTGCCCGGTCAGTGCAAGCGAAAACATGTTGAGGTCGGTTCGTAAGAACTTCGTTAACCGAATTTTTTTTCGTTAACCGAATTGAAGATCCTTATGGAAGGCAGTTCGTTAATCGAAATTACGTTAACCAAGGTGTTCGTTAAACGAGGGGTCACTGTACACTTACTTTGAGGTGTGTATGTAGAAGGCTCCTGGATGATGATGATGAGGGGAATTAGAATGGGTGTGGAGGAGAAGGGAGAAGAGAAGGCATTGGGGTGGAAGAGAAGTCACCCCATGGCGCCATTTCACCCATAAAATTTTAGTTCTCTTGGTGTAATTCAAGATTATTTTCTTTAAATCAACACTGCACTGCATTATATATTGTCAATATGTAAAATAAATTTCAAAATGACCAATAATTTGACTGGAAACACAGAAAAAAGCATTTATGTTACCTCCACAGAAAAGACACAGAAACTGACACCTGTAATCTGTATGGTGTGTTGACAGGCTGTTTGGCACGCTAAAAACTAGTTTCCCTGTACTTAAATTATTGAATAGTACAAACTTCTTGATATTTACTAAAATAGTAAGGAATTTAAGCCCAAGAACCGATTACTGTATTGGCGGACTAATATAACAGCTGTGTTGAGGGGCGCTCGTAAGGAATTCATTAATCGAGAGAATGCTTGTTAACCAAAGTTAAGAATCTTGTGGAAGGTAATTCGTTAACCGAAATTTCGTAAGCCGAGGCGCTCGTTAACCGAGGGATCACTGTATATTACATAGTACAGATGTGGAAGATGTGATCTTTTTTCTTTTATATAATTTTTTGTATTTTCTATTTAGTTCACAATTAAGATCACTTTACCTGGAGACCTGACAACGACACCCTCACAAAATATGACGGTTGAGGATGACCTGATTATGAGATCTGAGGTTCACGAGTTGCAGAACATACCATACAGAAGACTCGGATCAAATAACAATGACTCCAAATGGATAAATAATTATTTAAAGAATATTATTGGCCAAAGGAAGGCTATAGGTTGGAGAATAAATCGTGAAGTTTAGCTCCGAGATTATTATAAGGTATTGGCCAGTAGGGTTAAGACCGAGATAAGAAAAGCAAAGAGGAATAATGAACTAAAGGTAGCAAAGGCGGTGAAGTTAAACCCTAAGGGATTCTTTCAAATGTATCAAACTAAAACACGAGACAAGACTGGACCAATACCGGCGAGCTAACTGATAACGACGGAGAAATGAGCAATAATCTGAACAGGTATTTTTCAAAAGTTTTCACTACCGAGAATTAAAACATAATTCCAGAGGCACCGACTATATACAGAGAAAGTGAAGAAAATAGATTAAGCGAGATAGTAGTGACTAGTAACGATGTTAGTAAGCAACTAAACAAGCTAAAGCCTAATAAGTCACCAAGTCCTGATGAAATATTTGCCAAAGTATTAAAGGAATGTAAGGAAACGCTTAATATGCCCTTAGCAAATTTGTTTAACATGTCATTAAAAATGGGCATAGTACCAGAATCCTGGAGGATAGCAAATGTGATACTGATTTTCAAGAAGGGAGATAGATCACTATCCCCTAACTACCGTCCAATCAGTTTAAAATCAATTGTAGGCAAATTGCTGGAAGCAATGATTTCAAACCCTATTCGAAATCACCTGGAGAAGCACAAGTTACGAATGTGAATCATGGTTCATTGATCAAGTTCTACTAACATAAACTCATAAAATTCGTCCTTCATACAGATTGAACCCTCGGTATTCACTCATTCACACTCTTCGTATTTCAGTGAACTAAAAGAGACATAAAACATCTCAAATTCATTCCTGAACCTCTAGTCAGCTACTTGTTTGAAGCGTGCAAGGTGAGCCAAGTTGGCTATTTATGATGGGCCGAGTTGGAAGTGCACCTCCAGGATGTATGGCTAACGAGCCGTTCAGTAGCGAGGAGGATAAAAGTAAAGTAAAAAAAAAACTTTCCCTTTACTTATTATTCATTTTGGTTCCTAATGCTGGTACTCCAATTCATATAGGCTAGTATCGATATACAACGTGGTGGTGACTTCGGCCCAATCGGTAAGTGGGCCGAGATTACCAAAAAGGGCCGAAGTCACCAGGGACCGACTTCACACTTTTCTTCAATGACATTTCCCTCGCAAATGACCTAAATATTATCTAACCTATCCCCATCTCGCCTATTTGGACCCCCTCCCCCCCCCCATATATATATAAGACATTTGCAAGGGAAATGTCATAGACGAAAAGTGTCTTAGAAATGTCTGAACTATTGAGGTAAAGGTGTAGAAGAGGGTGACCACCAGAAGAAATTGTCCAAATTGGTTGAAATTTTTTCTGCACACTTAATGTATATCATGATATTAAACACAAAAATCAAAACGACATTGTGAGAATGATTATTTTGCGCTAATTGCAGAGTTACACCAGAAAAATAGTGAGGCAATTTCTCTTTTTTTTTTTAGAAAAAACGGTGTATTACTGAATAAAGTTCTTTGTCCAAAGTGTAATAACCAGTGTAAGAAGAACAGCATATTTGGCAGTCTCACAATAGTTTTACAGATTGAGGTATGAAGTGGGGGCAAGAAGAATGGGGGGTTAGGTTAGGTTTTGTTGGTTGGTTAGTATTTCATTTATTCGATTTATTCGAAAATAAAAGAAAATCCTACTTTTTCTGTTATGTTAGTTGGGTGGGGGAGGGAGGTATCTATAAAAAAACAAGTGATTTCCAGAGGAAATGGATATCAAATTCGTTCGAAACTCATCAAAAACCATAGGAAAAAACTATTTTTCACAAAAATATAGTCCGCTGTGATACTATAAACATACCATAATAACTTACAATTGTTACTAATACCATAGACTATTAGTGATGAAACAGAATTGATATTGGTGACGAATCCGGTCGGTGATAAAGTTGATTGGCGACGAAATGGGATGTATCCCGGTATAGCTATGAGATTTGGTTTAAATTATGTGTTATATACATGCTGTAGCTCACTGTGTAAGGGTTTGGGCACAGACAATTTCGTGTGTGCGAACACAATTGATCTAGTACACCCTTTAAGGCATACACGTCTCTGCCAGTAAAGTGAGAGCCAGACATTGGCGGTCCGACTAATTACCCAAATGTAGCCGCAATGAAGTCAAATAATGGTCCTACATGAATAAATCGGACTGCCAACCACTTCTCGACTAGTATTTGGTGTCACAAAGTCACAAAAAATTGGAAAACTTAATTTAAACTGAGTTAATAGATCGTGTGCTTGTATTGAGGGAGCGAGTAATTACCCAAATGAACCCAAATGTAGTCGCAATGAAGTCAAATGATGGTCCTACAAGCGTAAATCGGGCTGTGAATCACTTCTCGATTATTATTTGGCGTCATAAAGTCACCAAAAATTGGTAAACTTAAATTAATCTGAGTTGTGTTAGGTTAGGTTAGGTACATGCACTCGATCTATTAACTCAGATTAAATTAAGTTTTACATTTTTTTTTTTACTTCGTGACACCAAATACTAGTCGAGGTTAGGTTAGGTACCTGCACGCGATCTATTAACTCAGATTAAATTAAGTTTCCCATTTTTTTTTTTTACTTTGTGACACCAAATACTAGTCGAGAAGTGATTGGCAGTCCGATTTATTCATGTAGGACCATTTTATTTGACTTCATTGGGTAATTTAGTCGGACCCAGACGTTGGTGTAGCAACGCGAATAGGCCACCGAAGATCATCAATAGTCCTTAAAAGAATGAAGAAAACTCCCCTTAACCTTTTTTCACACACTCTGTATATGCCATAATAAAAATAATTAGAGCCACAGAATAAATACTCTGGTAATGCAAACCCATAAGTCTCTCCGGTTAATTTAATGAATACCCTCAGTCTTCATCCAAATACCGAGGACATTCACTCCTTCAACCAGGTATATCACGAATAAGTAATACAAACTGATACATATATCAGTTTCATGAACGCTGATTAACATAAGCAAAATTAACTTGTACACTTACGTGTGATTGTTTCAGTATGAGAGAGTAAAGTCCTTCTCTGTAGATGTCCTCCGTCGGAACAACAAAAATGGCGACGTAATAAACAGAAAGCTAACGATTAGATATAAACAACGTTCCTAGGAATTTTAATACTCAAAACAGAATGCAAATATGTATCAAATTTAATCACCTTCATATTTGTTAAATGAAATATTATGTAAATGGTCAAATCAGTATAATGTTTACTCTAATACTTCATATGTACCATATCTATGAGCATTGGTTCTCAGGAGTAATATTCTTTAGATTCCTGTGAACAGATGCCAGCAAAGATTTGGATGAGGTTGTCTCTGGATAAAATATAAAACGTTATCATTTCACCACTTGCCAACCGTTTGAGCGGCTGCTCTGTTTTTGTTTTAGTTTTTTTTTTTTTTTGCTTTTATTATGAACGTTATTATCCAGTTTTAGTACAGGATGAAGCCGGAGAAAACCTGCTATTTTTAGTCTCACATCTATCCCGGCAAGTAATATGGAAAAATTTGCTTAAGCTAAAATAAAAGTTCAACACTTCTCGTGTACTGTACATCTCCATTTTTGCCTTTTTTGACACACACCACCTACTCTTTTCCTTAGTAATTCTGTAGGTTAATTAATTCAAAACCTTAGAGCCAACCAGGCGAGGGTACAGGGAGAGGATGTTTTTGAAGAGTCCAAGTGGTGTATCTACAGATCCCCAAACTGTGGCCAACTAAATCAAAGGAACCTAAGAGCCTTAATAGACAACGCGGCGATGCTCAACCCTAGCCACCTCTTTATCATGGGGGACTTTAACTATGGCGACATCGACTGGAGTAACGTTAGACTTCACCCCAAATGACTTGAATAACCCTGCTACTCTTTTTGTAGAAACTGTGAGAGATAATTTTCTGTTCCAACATGTTAGAGACCCGACACATTACAGAGGGGAGCAAACACCCAAGCCATTAGACCTCATCATAACAAACGAGGAGGGGATGGTGACCAAACTGGAGCACCTTGCCTCAGTTGGCACCAGTCACCATATAGTGTTGTCATTCAGATTTAACTGTTACCTAGTTCAAGATAAGGCCAGGCCAAGGTGCAAATATTACAAAGGAAATTACAACGGGATGAGGGAAGAGATGAGGGGTATCCACTGGCCTGACTCATTAAGGCACAAGAACGCAGACACTATGCTGAATATCATAACTAGTAAAGTGACCCATTTGATCGATAAATATATACCCAAGACCAAACCCAGTGCCTCTGTGAATACGAGGGGATCCCTACACATGAACCATGCTGCGGTCGACAAAGTTAAGAAGAAAACTCAGAAATTCATGACGTGGGTTGGGTCAAACGATAAGCAGGACAGGAGGATGTATGCAAGAGCCAGAAACCAAGCAAAGATAGTGTAGAGGGGCTGAAAAGGAGTTCCAGAGGCTGGTTGCAAGCGAGGTCAAGTCAAAGCCAAAGGCGTTTTACCGCTATGCAAAGTCGAAATTAAAAACGCGAGTAGGAGTATCAGAACCTAAGGCTTGAAGATGGTAGTTACGCAGATTCTGAACAGGATAAAGCTGAGGCATTGAACAGCTTCTTTTCCTCGGTGCTCACAAGAGAGGATGCTGTAGGAATTCGTGGTATAATGTTGTCTAGCACTCAGGATGGATGGAAACTCTAATGTGGTTTTCTTGTATAATATAAGTTATATGATAGACAGTCTGGTGCTGGAGGTGCCGTGTGGTGAGGAGCTGTTCAGTAGAGACGTTCGGTGAGTAGCGTGTTGAAGGAGGTAGATGTGCAGGAGCTTCGTTCGAGAAGATGTTGCCTGTTGCTGGCCTCCTGGTTGAATGAATGCTGACAGCGTGGAGCTTGCTGGAGGAGGTGTTGCTTGTTCAGGAAGATGGGCAGAATGAGAGCTGGTTGGTGAGGAAGCTCAGAGAAGGACAGCTGGTGGGTCGCCATGCTCGCTGGCGGGAGCGAGGACCACCAGGCAGGCGGAGGAGAGGCGAGGGCCGCCAGGCAGCGGCGGAGGAGGAGGTGTTGCTTGTTGTAGAAGAGAGGCTAGAATGAATCTCAATGGAGAGACAGAGCTTATATACCCAGCAGCCGCGAGTCCTCTATGAGTCATGTTGGGAAAACCCGAGAAAGTCGCCGGTCTCTAGTTCCGTTGCTAGGTTACCGTAACATCTGCTGTCGTCGCTCTCTTGGTTGCTAGGATACGGCGGCGCATCGGAATGCGGATACGCAGTTGTAGGGGAGACGTCCATTACAATGCGATTAACCTGTGGGTGTTCAAGGTTATTTGGTTCACACTCAGGATGGGATGGAGAAAGGAAACTCACAATGTGCTCTCTGTATACATATTGTATTGGATGTACAGTGCAGCTTGGTGCTGGGAAGGGGCAGCGTGGTTACAAGCGTGATGTAGAGAGAGCTGGTTGATGAGGGTGCTCAGAGGATTAGCTTGTGGGTCGCCATGGTCGCTGGCGGGAGCGAGGGCCGCCAGGCAGGAGGAGGAGGAGGAGGAGGTGTTGCTTGCTGGTTGGTTTAGGTCGAAAGAGAGGTAGGTCACTGTATAATATGGACACAAAGTAGTACCTTAAGCTGTGTATCCTTATATTACCCTATTAATTATGTATAGTAAAGTATTACAGAACATGTATTAATTCTATGTAATATTTCCATTTATTATGTACCATGTTATGTATATGAATTATCATATTTACATTTTATGTAATCAGCTTGTGAATGCTGGCATCGCCGCATCTGTACATGCAGCGTGCAGTGATACATGGAGTGGAGATCACCAGTCCTTCAAGTGTGGAAGTGCTCTGTTTCTTGGTCCATCTGTATATATCTCCCGTACGAGAATAAGAACCTATTTTTAAGATAACAAGTGTTTGTGTATACCCTCAGTAGTGTAGAACATTTTGGGGGTATCAAAGACAAACATAGAGTCACCACGAGGTCAGGTTTTATATAGCGGAGGTAGGCGTGGCTTAATAGTTGACCTCCGTGATGTATGGCGGCGCTGGTTGACCTAGACCACTGGGGAATTCGCGGGGTCGGCTACTCAGCAACAAGAGTTTGTAGGGGAGGAATCCACTACAATACTCCCCCTTCCCTCCAGGCGGTGTAGGAGATTCGTTGTCTGCAGGATTGCATGGCACATGTGAGGATTAATCCACTACAAACCTTCCTGCGTTTGAGGACAGACGGTTCGACACCGCACTGAACCACATTGTGTTCACAGAAGAGGGTATTAGAAATAAACTGTCAAAGCTAAAGGTCCATAAGAGTCCAGGCCCTGATGTCATGATCGTGATAACGGCTAACCTGAAAACCTTAAGGATTCATATTACGCTCAAACGTCCACAAAACCCTCTGAGTCCCCCAGTGGAAACGTCCCCCGTTTTCTCTGTTGCCCCGTCTTTGTCTTAAGGGAACTTTGAATATAATCCACGGATTTAGTAGCAGACGCTGTACGCTGGGACCTGTTGCCATCCAACCCTTTGTAATCAATTTAATTTTGCGTTTGATAGCTGACTCAGAGCATTGTTAGTGAAGATAATAGTAGGGAATGAAACTGAGTTCATAGTCTCAGTTTCAACGTCAGAGTGTACAGTAAATTAATTCCTCGGAATAGAAGTAGGTGGCTCCCTGGTCTGTTTTTGAGTGAGGGGCCCCGCGGGCATTTCTACCGTTAGTGAGTGCCCGTCCCTTCATCCATACAGGTCCCTAACGCAGCCTAGGCCGTGTCTGTAGCGTGGATGTTGTATCCACTATGTCTGGGGAGATGTCCGAGGTCCAGTAGGATCAGTTACCTTCGTGAGACCCGGCCGTCAGACACTTCAGACTACCTATAGCCCTCATAGCTGGCTCGTCTGGCCCTAACGCTCGGCCTGCGAGGTGACCCCGGATCACCACGCCACACACCACTACCAGCCCCCATCATTGGTGGATGAGTGTCTAACTCAGTAGGGCTATTTGTGTGGTGCAATTAATCCACTGCGATCTCCAGAGTTCGTCGGAAAGTACTCCATGGTGGCTGGACCCCATGGCTGTTGCTTGAGTATCACCCCTGACGACTGAGTGTTGTAGTGGCAGTTGCCCTGGTCTTTATGGTGCTAAGTGACAATAAGAGTTATGTGTTATTGAGTATGTCCACCTATACTGCCAGATTCTGGGGTCACTAAGTCTAAGGGGATAACTTAACTCTAATCTTAATTTCTAAGGGTCGCTGCCACCAGACCCCCTCTGGACAGCATGTAGCTCGTTAGGTAGCGGGCAGAGTGGACTAGGCATTGGGTTAGGTTTTCCATTGACCAGATCGATTAGGGTAAAGAAGGGTGAAACCATAACATGTCTTAATTGGTTTATTCCTTATAAAACATACTGGTAAAAAACGCATACAACCACACTGTGGACCATAATTCCAAGGCCTGTCCCAGGGTATAGCACTGGCGCCTCTAACAACTGCTGTTGTGGTCGGTTACACTCCGACCCGAGGTGGGTTTGGGGTCCTCGGCCCACGAGGTAGAGTAGAGCCGATTAATCATGCCGAATCAGCGCCATTACTCATATATTGACCACTGCTGGGTATCCACCGGCTCCGAGCGACCGGTGGGTTTCAATTAAGCCCACTCTCGACCTGGAGACAAACGGGGCAGCGTCAGGGGACTGAGAAACATGACAACACCAACAAACTCTCTTGTCTAGACGACAGACGTATTTACGTTATATTACTTCTACACTGGGTGAATGACAATTCAACTGTTAAATCATGAACACTGGTGAACACTGATATTCACTACAATTGACTGAATTAACTGAATGGCTAGGGAACACAGAACATACCTGGAGACAAACGGGGCAGCGTCAGGGGACGCGCTCCCTGGCCATCTTGAGTTTATATACCCCTGAGTTGCCAGTGATCGCTACTCACGCAATGACAATAATCACAAACAAACTAACTGTTACTCATTCAAAGATGACCCTCCGTTGACAAAGGTCTGGCGAATTACTAAAGTTGATTTAAGCAGACTAATTCAAGGTTGCGTTTGCCAGTAGAGAGTGCAATAAACGTAGTGACAACTGTGTTCGAAGGCG